GGCGGCCGGTGGCCGTCCTCTGCCCGCTTAGCTTGTGGTTTCAGCTCTGCAGCCTGCCCCGTCTTCACGTGCCTGCGTCTCTGTCACTGCCCACCCCCTTACAAAGATTTGTCATTGGATTTAGGGCCCAAGGTCTCAAGATCCTCACTCCCATCCCCAGAGGCCCCAGGAAAGAGCCCAGTCATGTGTTTCAGGACCTGGACGCACTTTTGTGAGGCACCTTCAGCCCCCTGCACATGGTCATGCAACAGCCAGATGTCATGCAGGAAGTGACCCCTGAGAGCGGTGCCTGCCCAGGGTCGGGCCTGGACAGGGGAACCACATGCACACGAGGGCTCTGGACAAGTGCCTGCACTCTGCTGTCCGGCTGCAGGTCTTCCTGAGAGTTCAAGGGAGGTTTCAGCACAAAGCCTGCAGGCCTTGCAGCTCCTCCCAAACCTGCCACCGCCATGAAGAGAAATGGCTCAGGGCTCTCTGCTCACCACTTTGGCCCAAATCCCAGCCTGGATGGAGGTCTTGTGCCTCTCCCCTGAGGCTGAGCTGAGTGTTCGTGGCGACAGCTTCACATGCTGAATCTGCAGTGGCAGAGGAAGCCACGTTGTGAGGCATCTGGTCACCCTGCCACGCCGTCTCTGTGCAAAAGGCACCTGGACGTCCGCAAGAAAGAAACCCTGTTAAATACCAGGGGGGCCTTAATTTGGAAGTAGGCACCTTATTTCTTCATCTGGTATGGGTGTGACACCGAGGGCCCTTCTGTGCCGGGCCATCGGAACATTACTGTTTGACCAAGTTAGGGCATTGATTTGGGGGCCTGCTAACCAAGTAATGGGGAAATATATGCCAGCAAATAGCAAAGGCGAGGCGGTGTTTCTTCCTTTGCCATATTTTGCCAGTGACTGGAGCCGAGTAGCATCCCCGTGACCTGTGCGTTGGCCTGCTGGAGCATTCTCTTGGCCTCTGACACCTGCCTTGTCGCAGATGACAGCCACATCCCTGGCCCGTGCTTAGTGTCATGAAAAATGGAAATGTGGCTTTGAGGAGTCGCCCTGCCTTCCAGCCCAGGGTCAGAGTCTTTATGTTGGAGGCCCTGGGGCTTGGCAAAGTCTTGCTGACATGTTTCTAATTGATAGTCAGTGCGGGTTCATGCTGGTGGCCATGAGGACTTGTGTCAGATTTGAACGCTTTGGAAGGGTTCGTGGGGGCGGGGCATTCTTTCCTTCTTCTCCAAACTCTCTCCTTCTAGGAGGTCATGGTACCCTTGCTCGTCTGCGTTCTCGTTCTTTAGAATTGCTCCAGTTGTCGGTGAGAGGCAGCACCAGAGGGAAGTCGCTTTCGCAGGCCGGGGGTTGGAGTTTCACCGCCGTGGCTTAGAACAGGCAGTGAGGATGCTGAAGGGAGGGTCTTAGGAGATGGAAAGCGATGGACGAGGAGCGGCCGCCATAGGCTTCCTGGCTTCTGACAGCAGCACCCTGTAGGCAGGCACGTGCAGGCACAGGCACACATGCTCACACACACATGCACACTATGCACTCCCACACACATGCACACACACACACGCATTACCACACACACATGCACACGCACATGCATTACTACACGCACGCATGCACACTATGCATTCCCACACACATGCACACACACATGCATTACCATGCACACACACGCACACTATGCATTCCCACACACATGCACACACGCACACACACATGCATTACCACACACACATGCACACTATGCATTCCCACACACGTGCACACACACACATGCATTACCACACACACACATGCACACTGTGTATTCCCACACACATGCACACACACATGCATTACCACACACACACGTACACTATGCATTCCCACACATATGCACACATACACATGCATTACTACACACACACATGCACACTGCATTCCCACACATGCACACACACACACACACACACTATGCATTTCCACACAAACGCACACACACATACTCATTACCCCCACATAAGCACACTATGCATTCCCACACACATGCACACACACACATATTGCCACACATATGCACACAATGCATTCCCACACAGACATGCACATATGTGCACACACATGCAAACACATGCATTCCCACACGTGCACACACATGCACACAAGCATTCCCACACACATACATGCACATACGTGCATTCCCACACATGCATACACATACATGCACACACATGCATACACATACATGCACATAAATGCATCCATACATGGATACATGCAAAGATACATGTACACACATGCATTCTCACACACATATACACATACACATATGCATTCCCCCACATGCACACATGCATTCAACACTTTCACACACAGGTGCACACACATACATTCATACACACATGTATAACATGTACACATGCACAAACAGGCATTCACACATGCATGCATATGCATTGATACACATTCACACACATGCTCACATACATTCATATACACACACACAGGCACACAAATACACTTACATGCACACACATGCATTCATACACATTTACACACATGCACATGCATACACACATGCATTCACACACGTGCACACATGCATTAACACACAATACACTGGTGTACACACATGCATTTATACACACATCCACATATTCACACATGCCTGCACACACATTTACACACATGTAGTTATATATTCACACACAGGCACACATGCATATACATGCATTTATACACATGCACACAATACACATACATGCATTCACACATGCATACACATGCATTCACACATATACACACATACACACATGCATTCATACATTCAGACACATGCGCATGTGCACACATGCACATTCACACACACATACACACACCTTTACATATACACACGTGCATTTGTACACGTCACACATGTACACACATATGCTTACACACATGCACACACACTTACATTTATACACATGCACTGCACAGGCAGCAGCTCATCCTTGGGAAACACTGACCCCAAATTTTAAATGCAGGTTTGGTTTGGAATTGATTCTGACACAGAAAGCTGAGCCGTGAGCAGCCGTCAGGATTGGATGTCAATGACAAAACCTGGGTGGCAAACATGTTCTGGATCTTTCTTTTTAAAACAGGATTTTTGTCTTCTGAGAATGTTTCTAAAATGGCAGTTGGTGGCAATTTGGCAGCATCCATTAGCAATAAAGAATGTGCACACATGTGCGTGAGTGACCCAGCAGTGCTGCTTTGAGGGACGGACGTGCCTAGCAGAAGACGTTAGTACGTCCGTCAGGCCGTGTTTGTCATCATGCAAACTGGAACCCATCCGAAGTGCATCGGTAGGAGACGGCTTAAATAAACCACGAGTCCATTGTGCCTGGGAGATGCAACAGGTGTTGCCACCAAGACCTACGTAGATAGGCTGTGATTTTCAAGAGCAAATTGCAGAACATGGAGGGACAGTACCATTAAAAAGGCATGGTGGCTCACACCGGTAATCATAGCACTTTGGGAGGCCGAGGCAGGTGGAGCATGAGGTCAGGAGTTCAAAACCAGCCTGGCTAAGATGGTAAAACTCCATCTCTACTAAATATACAAAAATTAGCTGGGCATGGGGGTGGGCACCTGTAATCCCAGCTACTCGGGAGGCTGAGGCAGAGAATTGCTTGAACTCGGGAGGCGGACGTTGCAGTGAGTTGAGATCGCGCCACCGCACTCCAGCCTGGGCGACAGAGTGAGACTGCATCTCAAAAAAAAGAAAACTCCAAAGCCACAGAGCTTCGTTGTGACGACTGTGTTAGTGTGACCGGCATGTGCGCCTCCGTCCTTCACACTCACAGAGCCGGAGCACTGGTTACACCTGGAGAAAAAAAGCACTTTTCGTTTTCACTGCACAAATCTGTGTTGTAAGATATTTCACAGGAAATTGAGTTACTTCCACAATAAAAACTACTGAAGAAAATGCAGGCAAGCTGAGGTTCAGGCCCAGATGGCCCCGCAGCCCCTGGATACTTTCAGAAGAACCACTCAGGTTGCTGGTCTTCCTGGCTGGGAATTGGGAACCCATTATGGGTTTCCGGGCCGGGAGTGTCTCTCTGGGTTGGTGTGAACACTCAGCTCAGTGTACCTGTTGCTGATTCGGAAGACCGAGCCGGCCCCCATCCGTTACATCGGAGTGCAGGTGGCGGAGTCTTCCTCACTGGGGAGGGGGCTAAACCCCCATCTCTATGCAAAGCAAGCCTCGTCTACTTTAGGTCAGCTGAGAATCTGCTTGCCCTTGTGAAGTAGCTTTGTGATAAAATAGTATTTTGAAAACAAATCATCTTGCTGGTTTTACATGCCTGCAGGGCCTGCAGCTGGCTGGGGTTGGTCTAGAGAATCCAGTCCTAGGGATGTCTGTGTGGGTCGTGTTTTAGAGGCCAGGTTGGCCGGGCGTGTGGAGGGCGCTGTGTCGTTTGCATATGAATGGGTTCTTGGGGCTGCTGTGGCTGTGTGTGTGCTCTGCTCTGTTGTGAGTCTGTCCACGCACATGGCTGCTCCGTCACGTCTTCCATGTGAGCAAGCATGGCGGGTGGCTTGGAGCCCGTTGAGGATGAGCACACACTGGGTGCAGGAGGCACTGGGCCTTGAGCCTGGCATCCTCGTTTCCTGTTGGGTGTGGAGACCCGGAAGAGGTGTTCCTGGAGCCACAGGAAGCTGGCACTGCTCCTCGCCTCTGGGCTCGTCTCTGCCTCGAGGCCCCAGTAGGCACCTGCTGGGTCTCTGGATTCCTCAGATCCAGTTCACACCTCCCTCTCTTCTCATCCCTTCCTCCGAAGCCTCTCCAATCCACAGCCTGCAGCCGTGCCCCTCCCTGCTCCGGGCTGGGGTTTCTGAAACGTTCCTGCCACGGGCTCTCACAGCTTCTGTGCGTGTCCCGTGAGTCTCCCGGGTGGCCCGCTTCTCTGACGCGCTCATTCTGGCTGCAGCCCCACTCCCGTCTGGTTGTACTCTGACCCGTCTCTCCTGGCCCCTTGTCTGCAGGGCCCCCCTGGACGCCCAGGCCTTCCTGGGGCCGATGGCCTCCCCGGCCCTCCGGGGACTATGCTCATGCTGCCTGTGAGTACCCTCATCGGTCGGGTTGGGGAGGCGGCTGGGGCAGGCGGGCTCCAAGCCAGACCCTCCGAGGCTGCGCCGTCACCTGAGAGGCCTGTGGGCCTGCCCCAGCCTGCGGTCTGGCCTGGGCACCACGTCACTGCTCCCAGTAACCCTCGTTTTGCACCTGCAGTTCCGGTTTGGAGGTGGCGGCGACGCAGGCTCCAAAGGCCCCATGGTCTCAGCCCAGGAGTCCCAGGCGCAGGCCATTCTACAGCAGGCCAGGGTGAGTAGTGCCGGGTCCCCAGGGGCCCGAAGGGGACAAAGCCCAGCCCCAGGGCCAACAGGAGTGAGTGAGTCAGGCTGAGAGCCCAGCTTGGAGGGAAGTAGCTGTCCGGGCCCCACAGTGCCAGCTTCCCAGGGTCTGGAGCTGTGGGAGCCTCCAGTCCTCAGTGACCAGGAGGGGCCCGAGAGCTCAAGGACTGTTTGGGGAGTTTCTCAGGGGTTCTTCGTTGGTGCTGAGGGCCCAGGTTCTAACTTTACCGGGGCTTCTGGGCCCCTCCATGGCCTCTGACCCAGAGGGGCCACCGTGCACCATTTGCTGACCTCTGCCTCTGCACTAGCCCTCTGCCAAGATCTGGAAGTGGAGCCCGAAACCCACGTGGCTCCTGGAAGGGGCTGCCTGGGCTGGAGCTGAGCAGAGCCGGCTCCTCTAGGACAGAGCCCTTGGGCCCCAGAGCCCCCCACTCTCAGCCTGGGGGTCGTAAGGAGCAGGGTCCGCAGAGGAGAGCTTGCCTCCCTCTTATAAAGTAGCTCATCCATGGCCTGTGTTTTCACGGACGTGGCTCTGGATTGTGCATCGCCCACGATGGATGTAAACACTGCCCCACGGGGCGAGCGGGTGGGTGCGTGATCCTTCAGTGGAGCGCAGGAAAGCTAAGTAATCCCTTGTTTGAGCAGTATTTATGCAGCTCCCCCAGCAGCTGGAGTAGATGTTAATGATGGCAGTGCAGAGGTAATTACAGGCCATCGTGAGCACTGGGTCGCTGCCTTGGCACAGGTTGCTGAATGATGGAAGACCATGTACGGCCAGTCCCGCTCCCTGCGACGGGGTTTCTGGGCTTGGGCCCACCTGCCTGGCCTTTTATCTGTGTGTATTTTAATTGGAGCCAAATGGGTGATAGGCTGTAAGAAGATTTTACAATGCAAAACAAAATCTTCTAAAATTAAAATGGCATCTGCTGGGGAAACAGAGTCACTGGGCGGCCACAGAAGCAGCCCTGTGGGAAAGCAGGGGACCTGCGCTGCTGCGGGGGTCAGGGGGGCGCATCCAGATAGGGTGGATGGGCGACAGAGACCCCAAGGCATGTGGGTTCCTACTCCCCCAAAGTACTTTCCCAGCAGCTGGGAGTGCCTGAAGGGCCTCCCGTGTGAGTCCAAATATGTGCTGACTCAGCTTGAGCTCAGGTGTAAAATGTGCTCCTCAGCCCAGCCCAGAGTAAGAGACTTATTTCAGATTTAGCCAAGGGTGATGGGCTGGGAGCAGGCCCTCTGTGTGGGCTGGAGAGAAAGGAAAGAGGGAGGAGGCCCGTCCCTCAGGGGAAGAAAGGGGGGCCCACCGGCTTCCACCTCCCCATGTCCCACGTCACTCCCGTTGATGCTGAGAGCCCCGAAGAAATCAGGGGGGCTCTTGGGGAGTCATCAGCCTCCTCTTCCAGAGTCTCGTGGCCCTTCCCCATCCAGTCTGCCCCTTCCCTCCTGCCACGTCTCACAGCTCAGGCGCCAGCAAGCCGGGGCACCGCTGCTGGGGCACGTTCTCAGCGTGTCCCGCTTTCCTTTGCAGTTGGCACTGAGGGGACCAGCCGGCCCGATGGGTCTCACAGGGAGACCCGGCCCCGTGGTAAGTCATTGGCAAATCTGAGAGCTGAGCACGATGTGGGGACTGGCCCACTGCCTGTGTCCTGGGTGGACGGTGGCAGGTGGCCTTGCAGCCATGTGGACACAGGGCGGCCCTTGGTTCAGGGCCTATTCCCAGCAGGGTGGCCAGGGGGACCAGGAACCTCTCGGTGCTGCCCCATGTTGATGGGGGTTGGGGATGGTGGCTGTGCCTCCAAGTCACCTGAGGGAGTTAGCAGGATGGAGCTGACATCAGCCATCCCTGGGAAACAGCCCCCAACTCCATCCTGAATGGAAAGGAGCCGGCAGGAATCAGAGGAGGAGGAGGAGGCCCCTCCTCACGCCTGCATTGGAACTTCAGGCTTCCCCTGCAGAGAACACGCTATGAGCTGTCGCCTGGAGAGGGGCTCCTTGGAGGGAGGGGGTCCTGCCGCAGCCGGAGGCTTGGGGAAGTCCCTTGCTCAGGCTGCGACTTTGCCTTGTGGGCCAGGGATCTCCGCTGATCTTTGCAGCCTTGTTCCAGAGTCAAATAAAACGAAATGTGGGGCCAACCACAGGATTTCCCGCCTCACCTGCCCCAGCCCCGTGGCCTCAAATAACTCTCATCTAGGATCCCCGATGCATAAGAAACATACAGCCTGTGCCCAGGGACACTCAGGGGCTGGCAGTGTTGGGTGCAGGGGCTGGGTTCTGGGGCCTCCAGAGACACAGAGGGGTTCAACACTATAGGGGCCCCCGACTTTGCCATGTGCCACTGGCTCTGGGCCTGCTCCCCTCCACACAGGGCCCCACTCAGGGCCGGCCTCACACATCTGGAGATCTGGCCTTGTGGGGCCCGTAGCAGGTGCACCGCTGCCGGAAGCCTTGGGCTGTAACAGGCCACAGTCAGGCTCACCCTGGAGAGAGAAGCATCTCCATGCGCTTTGCGGTGTGTTTGAGGGGCCCAGGACCTAGAATTTTATTCCCGATTAGGAAGAGATCCAAACAACTCCATTTCCCTGCCCCGGGAACATCACCGTTCTTCCCCTCGTTCTGTTCGAGGCAGGCAGGTCGCGCTGTGTGTGCTGAGCACCGTGGCCGAGGCCCTGTCTCCTCTCCCTGCCCCCTCCGCTGCCACCCCCAGCCCCTCCTGTGCCTCGGAGTCCCCCCTTGAGCAGACGTTAACCCACACTGTGTCTCCCCAGGGTCCCCCTGGGAGTGGAGGTCTGAAGGGCGAGCCAGGAGACGTGGGGCCTCAGGTACGTGGGATCCTTGCCTTCGCTGTGTGGTGGGCGCCGCCCGTTTTCCGGTGGCGGTGATGGCGCGCATGGAGGCGCCCCAACTGCTGCCTGTCTTCAAGGAAATTAGTGGGAATTGTCATTGCTTGGCACAGTGCTGAGGTGGAACAGAATTCACTCCGACGCCCGCAGCAGGAATGGCTGCCTCTGTTCTGTCCCTGGCCTTCACTCTGGACAGCAGATCGTGTCCTGTGTCCAAAATGCCCACACATTGGTGGCATGGACAGCCAGTCGTGGGCAGGGCCAAGGAGCATGGGGACAAGGCTCTGCTCTCTCCCGAGAAAGGCGGACTCACCACTGACCCTTTGTCTCTTATCCCCGGCAGGGTCCTCGAGGTGTCCAAGGCCCACCTGGTCCTGCCGGGAAGCCCGGAAGACGGGTGAGTGGCTGGCTCAGCGACAGCAGCTTGGGTGCTGAGGGAGCCCAACCCTGGGGTGCGGGTGCCCCCAGCAGCCAGGCTGGCCCACAGGAAGCCAGGTTGCTCCCCTTCTTGGGATGGGCACGTCCATCCCCAAGGCCGCCTCTGAGCCAACTGCCTGGGAGGGGCGCCCTGTGTCCTGGGCGCAGACACAGCTGACCAGGCCTCTGTCCTGGGCACATTCATTTAGTTTAATCAACATTTCTAATTCAAGAAACTTCCCAGGCCCTTTGGCAGCAAACGTTAGGAAGACAAACTACCAGCAGGCCTTAGATCTTGAGGGCAGCGTTGGTCCTCCAGAAGTGGCCTGATTCGGGGGCACGGGTGGGCCTTCCTGCCCCTCACCTGCTGTCCTGGCTCCTGGGGTTTTCTGTCTGGTGTGTGGCTCTTCTGGAAGGAACTGGTGTGTTTGCATGTGACCGCGGCTCCTAAGAGAGGACACGCGTTTACAGATTGCTGATCACCACCCACGCGGGCTGGACAGGCCCTGGGAGCCCAGACCGTGCTCTCAAAAGTGGGCCTTCTCCACCAGCGGACATTTCAGACATACCCAGTGCAGGGTTGGATCGGCTTCGTGTGGACCTCTGCCAGCATGCACTCTTCCTAAGCTACCCTTGACTGCTTTCGTCTGAGTCCACAAGGCAAAAATGGCTCCTTCCCTACTGGTCTGGACGCCCTTGCCTCGGGGAGCGAGCTGCAGCTAGTGGGCAGAGATGACCCCACGGGCCGAAGTTTGGCAGGCTTGAGGATCTAGGCGAGGACCTGGGAAGGAAACGGGGGTCCGGGCTGGATCATTCCGGGAGGGCTGGCAGCTCTGGAGTTGGCTCTTGGTAGACAATTGGACCATCTATTTGGATCCGATTCTGAAAAATGTATCTCCTTAAGGTGTTTCTGTGTCTCCATGAATACTTGCCACCCCGTTTCACTAGGAGTGGTTTCCTAGTCAGGTGGGATGAAAACCTGGACAGAGAGGTGCTGTGGGGACGCTGTGTGATGTGGCCAGCTGCAGAGGGACATGGTGGCAGCACCAGGCATATGCGTGTGGTCTATTTATTTATTTGTTTATTTTATTATTATTATTAGTTTTGAGACAGTCTTGCTCTGTCGCCAGGCATCAGGCTGGAGTGCAGTGGCGCAATCTCGGCTCACTGCAGTCTCTGCCTCCTGGGTTCAGGCAATTCTTCTACCTCAGCCTCCTGAGTAGCTGGGACTACAGGCGCGTGCCACCACGCCCAGCTAATTTTTGTATTTTTTAGTAGAGACGGGGTTTCACCATGTTGGCCAGGATGGTCTCGATCCCTTGACTTTGTGAACCGCCCGCCTTGGCCTCCCAAGGTGCTGGGATTGCAGGCGTGAGCTGCCGTGCCTGGCCTATCTGTTTATGTTTTTGAGATGGAGTCTCACTCCGTCACCCAGGCTGGAGTGCACTCGCACGATCTCGGCTCACTGCAACCTCCCCCTCTCAGGTTCAAGCGATTCTCCTGCCTCAGTCTCCAGAGTAGCTGGGATTACAGGCGCACGCCACCAGGACCGGCTAATTTTTTCTGTTTTTAGTAGATATAGGGTTTCTCCATGTTGGTCAGGCTGGTCTCGAACTCCTGACCTCAGGTGATCCACCTGCCTCAGCGTCCTTCCAAAGTGCTGGGATTACAGGTGTGAGCCACTGCTCCCGGCCACATATGCGTGTTTTAAGGCATTACGTATGCCCAGAAGTTTCACTGCAGAAGAAAAGATGGTGGCAAGAGAGGGCCTCTGAGCTGAGGGGTCGACTCCAAAGCACTCTGAGCAGCCTCTTCAGTTCTTTGCTAGCACAGTCTGCGAGGAATGCTCGCTTCTGGATTTAGAAGCATCTGGGTGCTTTGCAGGGCTGGATCGTGCTGTGAAATCCCGTGAAGTTTTCTGAAAAATTTCCGAGTTTCTAAAAATGTTTGGAAATTTAGAAGAGGGTCCCAGCAAGGCCCCCTATTTGCTGGGCAGGGTGGTGTCTTTTCAGGGCGCATGGGAGCGCAGACAGCTCTGGGGTCTGTTTGGATTTCTCTCCTGTTGCTTCTCTGCTGTCTCTGGTGCTGCCTTCCCTGTCTCCAGTGCTCTGAGGCCAAAGCTGCCCTGCTCTAGATCTTCTCTCTGCTTGGTGGTGGGTTGGAGCCGATGGAAAATGGAAGCTCAGGGCGGGGGCTGTCTGGACTCACCGGCTGGGGTGCCTCGTTGGTGCATAGAGGTCTGGCTGAGTTTCACAGAGCCTGGAAGAGACCCTGTCCCCTTGCACTGCTCTCCCCGTGGTGAGGGTGGGGCCTGCACAGTGGGTCCCAGGAGGTCCAGGCCCCCTTCAGTCCCATGGCCAGTCAGGCTGTGAGTTGGCTGTGTCCGTCACTGGCCGTCAGGAACGGGGCATCCGCTCACAGTGCAGATGCCGCCTCACGTCGCTGTGCCGCCTCGTGAGACCGCACCTCGCTTTGGGCCTGGGCCTCTGCCTTAGTCAAGTGGACAAACCAGATGTGTTCTTTCTCTCCTTCCTCTGACCTCCAAATGTGGAAGGGAGCTGTGCTGTGCATGATGGCAGTGGCCTGCGCTCGCCTGAGTCCTAAGTTCACAGTCCCCCCGACTGACACAGCTTTTCAGCATGGTCCCCTCTGCCACGTCGTGGCGCCTTCTCAAAGCCCAGGGGCAGTAGTGTGGTCCCCCTTCAGCAATCTGGGATGACGTGGTCCAGAAGGACCAGCCTCGTGTGTTCCATCCGTTGGTGTGATGCGCGGAGCGGCCCTGCCCGGGATCCCAGATCTGTGTCGTCATAGCAACTTGGCCACTCGGGCTGTGACCATGGGGGTGGGCGTGGCTTCAGTGGAGCGCTCACTTGGTTTAATGGAAACTGTGGCTCTGGGGGCTCAGTGAACCAGGGGCTCTTTTGCATTGACAGTTTTGCCTCCTCTGTTTCAGGGTCGGGCTGGGAGTGACGGAGCCAGAGGAATGCCTGGACAAACTGGCCCCAAGGTAGGCCACCCACTGCCCTCCTGGTGCCCTGGTGTCACCGTCCTCCCTGGGGTCATGTGGATGGTGTGACCCAAATGCAGGTCATGTGATGACTATGATTATGATGACAGACGGGTCTGTCACTGACATTTCACATGAAGATGGGATTGGTGGGTGAATCTCACCAGCACATGTGACAGATGCAGTTCATTTTCATAAGGGAGAAATTTGCTGCCTTCAAGTGGGTGGCGAGCAGAGATGGGGTTGGAATCCCAACTATGAAAACCGTCCGTGGCTGTGCGGGTGACGAGGCCACACGTGGGGCAGAAGCGGGGCATGTGGCAAGCCCAGGGCCCAAGAGGTCTTGTCCAGTCGGGGCGGATCTGGGCTCCTGGGTGCTGGTGGGTGAATCTCACCAGCACATGTGACAGATGCAGTTCATTTTCATAAGGGAGAAATTTGCTGCCTTCAAGTGGGTGAATGGGTGTTGCCCGTGGGTAAATGCAGGACTGTGTGTGTGGCATGAACGAGCCTGCACTAGGCATGTGCCAGCTGGTGCTATCACCACCCATACCCACCCACTGCTGTGCCCAGTGTCGACCCGTCTGCCCCAGCATGCTGTGAGCATCGCCCGGTCTTGGCTCACCCCTCCTTCTCACCTCCCAGAAGCATTTGTCTAGGGCCATGGTGGGGGCAGGGGAGATACTGTCCTTCTGTGAGCCGCGCACCTTGGACAGCAGCTGTGATTTGGAAGGGAGACTGGAGACCCAGTCACCAAAAGCCGCCAGTGGTCCACTACACCTGTTCCCTGTTAACTGAGGCACCATGGGTGTGGGTGAACTCTGAAGTACATCCCGTGAGTCCCACGCTAGTGAGGTGGCGTGGGGTGATAGGAGGAAACTCAGTCTTGTTGCATCTGTCTCAAAAGATGGTGGTCTTGTTTCAACAACCTGACTGAAAGCCTAAAATGTCAGGTTGTTGGCATCACCCCACGTGGTGTGCACACCCATGGGATGGCCCTGTTCCCGGGCTCCAGGAGATGCAGAGGAGAGGCTGGCCAGGGAGCCAGGGTGCCTGAGGGCAGCCAGGGCTGGCCCACCCACCAATGGGGGGTATGCGCACGTCCCACACGCGGGCAGCCAGCCCCTCGCACTATGGATGCAGCCGTGAGTGAACACACAGGGACCCTGCCCTTGTGGGGCCTCTCTGGGGCAGGGAGATCAGCAGCAGACACACAAGGACGCTGCCGCAGTCGCTGAAATATCGCACAGCTAAGGGTCCGCTGAGGCCTGTGGCCTGGGACTCGGGGATGAAAGCCGACTCTCCCTTCGCAGCCCGTGATGGTGTTTGTGGGGGACGAGGTTGGGATTATAGATGCAAAGCAGGGGGCGGTCGGGGGAGGGCTGGCCAGTGCGGTTTGGGGTGCATACACGCTGCCGGAAACATGTCCGAGACCATGGGGCGGCCATCGCTGTCCACGTGTGCAGGGTGGCGTCTGAGGCAGCCTTATGTCCTTTTTGCAGGGTGACCGGGGTTTCGACGGCCTGGCCGGGTTGCCAGGTGAGAAGGGCCACAGGGTGAGTATTTCCTGTGTCAGAGATGGGCATGGTGGTGTGCAGGGTCTCTTGGGAGGCCCTTCTAGGCAGCCTCAGTTTTCCCGGGGTCAGGTCCTGGCATTTCAACGAGGTCACAATACAAATCTCACGGTTGTCAGCAAATGGCAGTGAGCCCCCAGAGGGTGCCTTTGTTGCTGGGCGGCCAGCCCGAAGAAATTGGAGCTCTTAGCTGCAGCTTGTGACAAGTGAGCCAGGCGGGCCACCCACCTGAGGGTGTGCAAGGGGCAGGAAGGAGTCCTTCCTTTCAGAGGCCACCCTCTGTTTAATGGAGCCCTTTAACTTTTCAGGTAATCCGAGCAGCTGCCGTTTCAGGAGCAGCCAAGGACACTTTGCAACATTAAAGTGGTGGTCCTGGGGGGTGGGGACAACCTCAAGTGGCCACGTGGAGACCAGCCACCAAAAAATGTCAGGTGTCCACCTCTTCCTTATTGTTGGGCGTGGATGATCTCAAATGTGTGTCCCATGAGCCCCGAGCTAGTGCGGTGACCCGGGGCGATAGAGTGAAACCCCGTCTTGCTGAATCTGTCTCAGCAGGCTGTGGCCCTCCTTCAACAACACTGTGATGGGAAGCCTGAGGTGCCCTGCCCTGTTAGGGAGGCGTGGTGGGGAAGGCCCTGCCTGGCCGCCCGCCCTGTTTTCTCAGCCCCTGTTGGGGTGACCTGGCATGAAGGCTTTTTCCAGCTTGTCAGCTGCTGCTTCTCTGACCTGCTTTCTTTGAAGTAGATTTCTTTGATGGCTCCTTTATATTGTAGCACAGTGAGGACATACAGGCACATGAGGGTGTGCGTGCACACCACCCACACAGACACATGTACACCTGCACACACGCCCCCCACACGCACACCCGCACATGCATGCTTATACTCCTACACCCCACATGCACACACATACATGCACACGCACATGTGCATGCACACCCACACACATGCATGCACACACACATGCACCCTAATGTACACACATACACACACATGCACCCCTCAACCCCCAACATCCACACAGGCATACACGTACACACCCCCTCATACCCCCGCACGCTCCACCCACACAGGTACACTGGCATACACACATGCACGTGTGCACACACCCCCCACCCACTCGGCCCTGCTGCCGGTGCCCGTCAGCGTGCCCTGCTGCCCTCCACGATGCCCTGAGAGGGGCGTGGTGTTGCCGTCCATCCAAAGTTGCCGCATCTCTGTTCTCACAACAACCACGTGGAAATGGCACAGCCATGAAGCCCGTCCCTGACTCAGCTCCAGGCCTTTTGCCTGACTGAGGAGCACATATTGAGCGCCCACTGCATGCGAGCCCTGAGGGTGCAGGTGGCACTCCCCGAGGGTGTGAGCCTGAGGCTGCTTCACATGGAGGACTCGGGCTGAGGGTAGCTCAGACCTCAGCTCGGTGTCCTGAGGCTGCCCACATGTGGCCCTGCTGGCCCCGCAGGGTGTTCAGTCCAGCACCTTCCTACCTTCAGACCATCGTGGTGAGACTGGGGTGAGAGTCGGCAGCCCGCATTAACCCAGCCAAGACACGTGTGATCTCCTAGCAACCTTTCCCCATTCTGGAAGGGTCTTCTGAGGGCTTGGGAATCTTACTGTCAGAATTAGAGAAAAACAAAGTAGGGACCTTGGATAAGCCCTGCATGACCTGCTCTGGAGAGGCTGACGCTGACCCTGTTCCCTTCCTAGGGTGACCCTGGTCCTTCCGGCCCACCAGGACCTCCAGGAGACGACGGAGAGAGGGTGGGTATCCTGCCGTCCCTCTGACTGCTCCTGCCTGCCCCACTCCTCGGTGATTTGGGCAGGAAAACCACAGAAGAGAGGCCCGTGGTGTGGGATCGGTCTGCCGCATGTGGAGGGCCAGCTGGGAGAGGGCAGAGGGGCTTCCCTGTGGGCAGAATGATTGATCCGATGCCCCAGGGCATTGGAGAGATGCTGACTGCAACGTGTACAGTTGCTCTGTCGGTGCTGATGATGCGTGGAGCTCAGGGCTAGCTGTCAGGGCCCCCTGCAGGCGACAGGTGCCCCGAACCTCAGTAGCAGGAAAGACGCCGGAGAGCTCACTGAGCTCGGGGCCTCACTTATCTCTTCTGGATGAGGAGGCAGCTGGAGGCGTGCGGGTGGCAGAGAGCTGAGATTTAGGGGAGCAGAGGAGGGTGGGGGGGTTGGAAATAACCCTCTTGTGGGCTGGAGACAGGGGAGGAAGTTCCTGTGGCTGTGGGCCGGAGCACGGGAGGGAGCTGTTCTGCAGCGTGGGTGCACAGGCTGGGGTCTGGTATCCGCCACGCTATCTTCGTGTGTGGAGGGAAGCGTGAGCTCTGGACCACAGCACAGTGGGCTGGGGCAGGGATGCACGAGACTGTGGGTTTCTCAGCTCCTCCCTGCAGCCACCGCAGTCACACAGACACGTTCTGTGGGTATCAGGGATGTTTAGGGGAAAAGCTGTAAGGAGTCCTGGAGGGCGGGAAACAGGAGCAGCGCCAGGGGCGTTTCTGTCTCACCAGCTTTCAGGCTGGCATGGCCGGGGCACCTGCTCCTGTCTGGGCCTCAGCACAGTTGGCTGTAAGATGAAGAAGGAGAGAGGGACCCTTCTGGATGTCAGTGCTTCTGCATTGAGAGGACATGTGTATGCCTGTGTTTGTGTGTGTGCATATGTGTGGCTGTGTGCATGTGTGTGTGCTGGGAGTGTGCATGTGCCTGTGTGTATGCATGCAGGCATGGCTGTGTGTACATGTGTGTGCCCAGGGTGTGTGTGTGTGTGTGTGTGGACAAATGTGTATGTGGCTGTGTATGCACGTGCATGCACAGTGTGTGTGTAGACAAGCGTGTGCATGGCTGTGTATGCACAGTCTGTGTGTGCATGGCCATGTATTCATGTGCAGTCACAGGGCATGTGGATGTGTGGACAAGTGTGTGTGCATGGCTGTGTATGCACAGGGTCCATGTGTGCATGGCTGTGTATGCATGTGCACGCACAGGGTGTGTGTGTGTGGACAAGTGTGTGTGCGTGGCTGTGTATGCACAGGGTCTGTGTGTGCATGGCTATGTATTCATGTGCATATACAGGGTGTGTGGGTGTGTGGACAAGCGTGTGTGCATGGCTGTGTATGCACAGGGTCTATGTGTGTGGGGCTGTGTATGTGCATGCACACACAGGGTGTGGGTGTGTGGACAAGTGTGTGTGCGTGGCTGTGTATGCACAGGGTCTGTGTATCCATGGCTGTGTATGCACGTGCATGTATGTGTAGGCATGTGCAGGCAGGCTATGTGTGAACGTGCGTGCATGTGTGGGGCGGGCTAGAAGGTGCAGTGGTGCTTTGACAAGGCGCAGCATTTGTGAGCAGCCCCTGCATGAGAAGCAGTGGAAGCAGGGAGGCATCCCTCTGCAGCCAGAAGGAAGTCCCTTCTTGCTTTACTCTCCAAGCTGTTTAGAACCCTGGTGGGGACAGCTGGTTCCCCAGAGGGTGGCCCAGGGGATCTTGTGACTCTCCCCTGATGCCCTGCCCTGTCGCAGAGTCTGTCATTCGTGAAGGTCACCAAATCCTTTCAATTAGATGGTCTTTCTGCCCAGCCTTTTCCTCTGGAGAGCTGTGGCACGTGAGCTCCTGAGCTGGCATCTTAGAGCCTTCAGGCCTCACCTGCAGCCTCTGCACACCTAGCAGCCTCCTGGGAGCGAGGACAGTCCAGGTCTTTCTGGCTGGAACCAGAGCTAGTAAACCTGGCATTTGTGAAGCAGCCCCAGGCCAGAGAACCCTTGTCCACCACCCAGGGGAAACTGGTGTCCAGGCTGACAGCTCGTCCCTCTAACCCTGCCTTTGTTCTCCTCCGCAGGGTGATGATGGAGAAGTCGGGCCCAGGGGGCTGCCTGGGGAGCCCGTAAGTCTGTGTCCTGAGTGGGATGGTGAGGCCTCAGGGTGGAGCAAGGCTGTGTCGGAGGCTCCTACTGGAGTAGGGCCTGGGATCAGCCGGGAGCTTAGATGAGAGAGAGCTCAGCCTGAGAACAGACCGACTTGGGCATTTCCCAGGAAATCAAACAGAGGGGGCACAGGCGAGGCTGGCCTGGCAACTCCAGGAGGAGGTCTGAGCCTGCCTACGGGAGCAAGCATGGCCCTCAAGGGTTGTTGTGGGGGGCCCAGGAACAGCGTGGTGGGGTCTGGGGGTATCGTGGGGAGTCAGGGGGCAGCATGTGGGATCCATGGGCATTCTGGAGGGTCAGGGCATCATGGTGGAGTCTGGGGTCAGCATAGGGGGGTCTGAGGGCATTGTGGGGTGGCTGTGGGCATTGTGGGGTAC